ACTTCTCACCAAACTCTCATCTGCACCACTGCAATGGTTTTTTAATAGGGGTCCATGCTTCTGATGCTATTTCCCACAACCCACTCTCTACACAGCAGGCACTATGATCTTTTAAAAAATCTAAATCAAACCATGTTACTCCCTTGCTTAAAATGTTCCAATGACTTTGTCTTCAAGATCCCATAAATAACTGTCCCCTGCCTGTATCCTTGATTTCATCTCATACCATTCTTTCCTCCTCCAGTCACTCTCTTGTTTTCTGTTGTTCAAACACACCAGTCAAAAGGCTTTTGTAGGCCAGGTATGGTGACTCATATCTGTAATCCCAGATACTTTGGAGGCAGAGATCAGGAGGATTGCAGTTCAAGGCCAACCTGGGCAAAAAGTTAGTGAGACCCCATTTCAATAAATAAGCCAGGTCAGGTGCCTTGTATCTATAATCCTAGCTCCAAGGGAGTCATAGGTAGGAGGATCGTAGTTCAAGGGTGGGGGGGTGAGATGCCAGATCTTATCCAAAAACTAACCAAAACACAAAAGGGCATGGATTAACTTGTAGAGTACCTGCCTAGCAAGCATGAGGCCCTCAGTTCAAATGCCAGTATGGTCAAAAAAAAGTTGTTTTACTTACACACTCTGGCTGATTATTAGCCCCCAAATCTTATATATTTGGCTTCTTTTTACTATTCAAATTTCAGCCCCTCCCTATAAAAAGACCTCCCTTTCTGTTTAAAGTAGTCATTCTCTATCACATTGTCTTAATTTGCTCCATAGCACTTACCATCTGAAATTGTCTCCTCTCTGATACTTCTCTGCTACTTTGTCAAAGTTCCATGAGAGCAGAGATCTTACCTATTAGTCACAAGTTCTTCTACCTGAAAATTAGTAGGTACTCTGCACTTAACTAACTAGTGATGGCAATAACACCTTTTGGAAAACAGTGAGGGAGGGAGAGTGCTACATTAAATTTTCACAAAAAATATATATTTTGCCATCAAGTTTCTCGACAATACAGAGGCTTACCTATCCTTTCTATACTTGAAACTTTAGCAGAAGATTATTCCACATAATACATAAGGTCACTAAACAATACTACAAAAATGTTCCTCCATGCATACAGCATTAAAAAGAATGGCGCACTGTATAGTTTTCCACAAAAATATTATCTGAATTTATTCCTGCCTCATGAGACAGTCCTAATGAGAACAAAGACATATTTCAGTGGACAGTGTCAATGTTCCTCTGCAAAAAAAGTCTTGATACACTGGTGCCATGTATCACAAATCCATAGAGAAAGTCAATGGATTCTTATGCACACTAACTTTTCAACCACCAAACAGATGTCAGCAATTAACATACTACATTAAATTTAAAACTGGACATTTTGCTGTCCATAATATAAAAAATAGTACTTAAAATCAGAGTCTGAAACTGTCTATACAACATTGATCTTTGATTTCCTAGCTCTAAAATTTCTCCTTCAGTGCTTATGCCATAATAAATTCTTTTCCGTATTCAAAACTTGTGTGAACTCTTATTTTGTTTGAGTGCCACCTCAGAATAATCATAATTTTAACATGTAAAGATTTTTTTTCTAATCAGGAAGTGGGGACTGTCAAAACTTCTCTGTTTTCCTTTTACCCTTCCCTTACCAAAAAGCTTGTGTATGGTCATGATATTTTTAAAGTAAAACCTTTCCTGAACCCAAGAAAATCTTGGGCACTTGTTTTTAACTGTTCCAAGAAGGAGGACCATCACACTAAATAAATAAATAAATAAATAAATAACAGTGGAAACTGAATAGGGCCCAAGAAAATTGTTGTTGTTATTAGATTTGCTTTTAAATTTTATTTCCTCACAACTATTTTATGGAATTCAATTATAGTAAGTATAAAATATGATCCACTGATGGAAACTGCAAGTTTCAGGTCCCTATATAAACATTCTTTTCAACTTCATATTTGATGAACTAAAATGTTTATCAACTTGTATATTATTTACAGTTTTCCTACCCAAACACACATACACACATGCACATGCACACATGCACTTATATACAGAAACGCAGGGGAAAAAAATTAGTTGGTGATATACTTGCGATGTAAGTCATTACAGGTCCGATGTTACAGTTACACATTACTGAATCTATCTAGTGAACAGAGAACACAAAGGGAATTTCCAAATGCAGCTGCTATTTCCCATTTGTTAAATCCTTTTATTACACAGCTGGGAAATACTATAGAGTGGGTGTTAAAACAAAATATTTTGGCTTCCCAACATTCAGAATACACAAAGGCTCCAAGTGGAAAGCAAAGTTTGATAGCAAAGGACAATGAAAGTTTGACAACATTTCTAGGAGTGTGATTTCCTTCACAGTTAATATGTAACATTTATAATTTTAAATTATTTTATTACCTTAAATCATATTCATTGTAAATTAATTGACATAAATTTACTATAAATTATTGATATCTATGTTCTGAGAAAATTTTAGATCACAAATGTTTGAGATTAACCTAATGCAACTTGGCACTTGCCAAGAAACAAAATTTTATTAGGAAAAATAAGTATTCTCTAAAGAAATAAAATTTGAACTGTATTATTTTTGCCTCTATCCATATTTTCTAGTCCAGTTTTATAAGGTTTATACTTGGCATAAAAGCCAAAATATAACTTGAACCTCTCCCCTCTTTCAACCTCCTCCTTCTTCTACACTAATCCAAGTCTCTTTAATCTTTCATCTAGATTTTTGAAACAGAAATCCCCAAAGGTCTTCCTCCTTTCACTCTAGCTTCCCTACCATTCATTCACTATACCATCAGTTAGGAATTACCTGTTTGAAATGTTCTTAAATTCTTCAAAGGCTGTTTTCCATTGCACTTAGATCAAATCTCACTTTCATAATGCTATCTCCAAGGTCCTGTTTGACCAGCCCCTATCGACGTCACCAGCCACATCTGATGCTACATTTCATCCTCATACTACATTCCATCCACAAAGACCAGCTTTGACTTCCTTGAACTAAGTTACACTTCATACATGCTACTCCCTCTGCAGTTTTACTCTTGGCTCTACTACCTGGCTAGTTTCTGTCATCCTTAGATCAGAAAGGTCATTTCTCATCATCTGTTCCAAATTAGATTTGTCCCCTTATGTTTTCAGATAACATTCTGATTTTTTCTGCTTGGCACAAATTCACAATTTTACTTATATATTTGTGTGCATATTTATATAATTTCTATCCTCTGTCCTAGACTATAAACTCCATGAAAACATGATCATGTGTATTTTGTTATTCACCATACAGCCAGCATCTAGCAGAATGCTTGGCACACAGAGGGTACTCAATAAATATGTGTTGAAATAAAAATCAAACAGCCACATTATCTTGCCAATAAGCAAGTGGCAGTGGCTGCATGTCTATCTCACCCATGCTACCTTGGAGATATAAAATGAACAATTTAAGTTCAATGAGGAAAAAAAACCAGGTTTTAGTCTTGTCTTATACCTTCTCTCTTCTTTCTCCTCAAAGAAAATAAAGATTCCAGTGGATCTATTTGTACAATGTCCATCCCCTCCAAAATTAAAATTTGATTCAATTTTTGTATTCAACCATAAAGAAGAACAAAATTATGTCATTTGCAGGAAAATGGATGGAACTAGAGATTGTGAAGTTAAGTAAAATAAGCGAGTCTCACAAAGACAAGGCTCTCATGTTTTCACATATATGTAGAATTTTGGAAAAAGGAGAAAAAAAGGCATGAAAGTAGGAGGACAATTAGGTAGGAGAGGAAAAGAGAAAATGGAACAGGAATAAGAAAGGGTAATAAGAGGGTGAATATGATCAAAGCACATTACAAACACGAATGGAAATGTTGTTATGGACCCCACTTAGTACAACTAATGTATGCTAATAGAGGTAAATAAATAAAAGGATTGGAGCATGGAGAAAGAAACTAAAATGAGTCAATAAATCTTTGATGTATTTTCCAATCCTCTACTTCTCATCTACTACTCTGGAAAACTGGCTGTGTCTACAAAATCATCTGAAAAGAAAAATGTCTGCCTCCAAAGTTATTAAGTTTCTAAGACATTAAACATACGGCAACATTTAAATACATGCAATCAGTAGTAAAGGCACTTTAAACATTACCTTACTTTTCTATTAAGGAATAAAAAATTTTCCCCATTGCCTACTTAAAATATTTTTCATTAACTCAATTTTTGGTAAGCCAAAGTTTAAGAAAAGCAAAAGTGTTTAAAACTTCAAATCTAATAAAATGTTTTAAGGTTCTTAGTTTCTTCTAGATGTTAAAAAATGAGTATTTTTGTTTTAAACTAGAAAATTCATGTCACTTACTATGCTTTCTGCTTTGATAGAAGATGGAATTTAGCATGGTAAAGCTGGCTAATACAATACACTGCAAGTATTTGATGAGTTGTTTCTACATTTAGAGAAAATTCCTACAGTCTGATTGGATGATACTCAGGCATTTTACATGTCCTTCTGAAATTAATATGTAGGTATAAAAGTGAGAAAAGTTTTGTGATAAATCAAGAATTACCATTAAAATGATAAACACCCGCATTTCCTTACTGAAGACACAGACACCATGAGGCCTCATTCACATATATTTACCTAACTCAATTTTTCAGTACTAATACACAACCACACTTTATTTGATCATACCTATTTTGTAATATTACCAAGTACATCACATTCCATTCAGAGATTGAGAGAATAAGAAACCAACCCTTTCCCCCCCACACACAAAAATATCAGGAATCTTTTGTCAAGTGAACCTAACAATGTACATAAACTAATCACAAAACACTCTCCAAGTTTTCCCAGTAACTAGTATAATTGGGGAGGTAATTATGCACCTTTTGGTTGTTTCATGACCTAAACATATGTAACTCTAAAGTCACATATTTTGAGCTTTCCCTAAAATACCCATTTACAACTAGGACACAGTAGCAGTACCCAGATTTTAAAAGCTCACCATTCTTTGCTGAGATGACAGAACACTGTCCCAGTCAGCATCTTGTTGAATGGTACTGACAAGTGTCGGTAGCTCCTCAGAGTGAGGTTTGTTGTGCATTACGGGGTGCAGAGGCAGATGGGGACCCACGTGTTGCTCGTTGCCCTCTTCGTTTTCCCTTGAGGTCAAATCCTGGGTCATCGTTTCCTCTCCATCAACTGCACAGGCAAATGGAGAGGTGGCTTGTTTGGAAGACATTCTTCTGCAGAAGACAAACATCATGGATGAAAAAGGAATGTCAACAACAAAAGAATAAGCCATGTCTGGCATTTGACTAATTCAGGAAAACAAGAAAATTCTTTAACTTTAGAGCTATTCATGTTCTACTCTAAACCAACTTAAATCAACTTATCTTTTCCACTTTCCCTCTTTACTTTTTGAACTCAGCAAACCTCCTCTTCCCAGTAATTACTGCATATTTTCTCCCTTATCCAATCTACAAATGAAACTCTTATAGAATAATTTTTCATAAGATTTAAAATATGTATGTGTATAGCTTTCCTCCCAGTTTTCCCAATTAGATTATAAGCTTCTAAAGAGTAATTGGTTGATGGTTAGAAATGAAATGAATGAATGAATGAACTGGCTAATGAGCCAGTTTACAGAATGATTTGAGAGCAAAAATATCCAACTTTCTCCTATGGTTTGTGTAGGAACAAAATAAGTCTATGGAAGAAAGTATAATCAGCCAGCCGCTGGTGGCTCACACCTGTAATCCTAGCTACTCAGGAGGCAGAGATCAGGAGGATCGTGATTTGAAGCCAACCTGGGCAAATAGTTCACAAGACCCTATCTTAAAAATACCAATCACATAAAAAAAAAAAAAAAAAAAAGCACAGAGTAGTGATCCATAATGAAAGTCCTCAGCAAATCTGGTCCTTACTTTTTATTTACACCTTGCATTATGAATACTAAACCCAACTCTAAGTGTCTATTTTGAAGCTTAGTTACTAAAGACCTTTAAGATGTGTTGGCTGTTGCAACTTAAGTTTTAAGTGATTTATTGAGTGACTCATAATATTAGATTAGTCTTAAGGCACTTTTGTAGTATTTGAATTGAGTGTCTGAAATAACTATACATCTATGTTGTTAGAGAGTACATATACAAGAGTCAAAGCATTAACTATGAAAATAGAAAAACGCCTACTATGCGAAATATTTTAAAAGCTCAAAAACAACATTGAACATTTATTTATGTATCCACAAATGAACACTGACTACATTCTGCATGACAAGGTCTTCATTCTGTGCTTTCATATGCAATCAGAAAATCATTATTATTAAAGTGAATTTCGAAACTTTTAGAATACCATTTTATTAAGATGAATTGCTTAGCAAAATGGTTAGTAATAAAATCACTAAAAGTTTATATCTTATCTAAAGAAACCATTTTTCCTAAAACTTCATGATGTTTGATGTTTATTGTATCTCTAGTTCTAAAACTGCTGTGTAATGAAAGGAATAAAATCTCCACCTTAATTGCTCTTTAACATTAATTGATTTCATACCATTATTTTTAAAATGCACAAATCAGTTAACATAGGAAACCACATGAGCATTTTTCAAATTAGCAAATCATTAACTTGCTAGTACTGTTTCTACAGACAAATAAATACTGATTAAAGGGTCTAGAAATCTGAGATTAACAGTTAAATTTACAAATCTGTCACATGCTTTCATGAATATTGCAGTGAAGGAAATATCAAGTGCAAAGAAAAATAATTAAGTTAATTCCAATTTAAACAGTAGTTTTTATGTAGCAGCCCATGTTTCACATAGGATTTAACAGCTAATGCTAAATTTCTCACAATTAATGAGGGGGCTCAGATTTAGTATCCTACAGTGAAAAAAATTAATATAAGATCAGCTAATCTAATTATGCACAGTTCTAAATAAAAGTATTACAGTCTTTTGAAGTGATTTGAAACATATTAAAATGCTGATACCTACTTATAATAATCATTCTACAAATAATAAAATTTCATCTATTAGACTTGATACTAGAGAATAAAATGAAGAAAGAGTACAGAAGAATGCCTATATTTTCTTTGAGGAGAAAGAAATTAAATGTTCCAAAGAGTACTATATCAAAGAATCAGATAAATATATTCACGAACAATTTCTGTTAGTACTAACAAGTGGACAAATGGATACACAATGGAAATATTGTCAAAGGATGCTTTCTAGTACACAAAAATTAATACAGAACTTACTTTATTGGCCCCATAAATACTATAGTAAAACTAGGCAAATTATAACTATTCTGCAAGTTTATCAAGAGCCTGCCATAAACAAGAGTGTTTTCATAGTTCAGATAATGAATAGTTACCGATAATGTAATCATTCACATTAAAAACAAAAGAAAGAACTTACTGCCACTCTTTAAAACAGAAAAATAAAATTGAAAGTCATAATCCAAAACTCAGAGTGACTTTAGCTCCCCCCAAAAACATCCTGTTACAAAGTGAACTGTCTCCTTCCAATAGCAATATCTGTGATTGTTGCTTTAGTATAAATTAATCGTGACACAAAACCCAAAATGAAAAGTCTCTTAAGAATAATTTCAACTATAAACTGCACCAGCGAACAATAGTGCACAATCCTAATTAAACACAACCATGCAGCTGTAAAAATAGACTAAATCTGTCCAAAGCTATGAGTTGAGCTTAAAGGCTGGTTTGTTAGAGTGTTTTCTTAAGGAAGGCTGGGTCCTCAGTCTTAATCAGCCAATAAATTATTTCCTGCAATTACATTAAATAGAAAATTATCTTCAAATGGGGAGTGTTAATTGAAAATCAAAATTCAGAGGGAAGTTTAGAAATTACACGCTGAATACAATTAGTGAGGAAAGGCTTCACCTCTACTTCATCAACGGTCTTCTGGTGATTCCTCCAGTGACCAGTCAGGAAAGCTACCTATTTATCGCATCACACAATTTGTCTTTTATTTTACACCTACAAATACAAATGTGTATCAAGGTTGCAAATACAAGATAAGCTGCCAAAAAAAAAAAGCAATATTAAATCCGACTGTTCATCCTCAGTGCACACTACTGTTAGGGGAAAATAAGGGAGGGGTAAACAATGGTTAACAACCAGGGAAGGTATACTCAACTTTGAAATTCCTCACTTTAGCAAAGGAATTAATATGCTTTGTTCCAAAAATACCTTACCATGTTGTATTTCATTTAGTTTCAGGGGTTTATTATCTCTTAAATATATTGTTCATAGAGGAAAAATTATTTTTGTTCTTCTAGCAAAGTATTTCCTTGAGCATTTCCTCTTCATAAAATTGTTTGACTCCTTTTAAAGTTTGTTTTTACTGTTAGCTTTGTTGTTTTGTATTGTTCTAGGTGGTAGTTTTGTTTTGAGATTTTTAGGTAAAATGTGCACAAGTTATTTTTGATGCATAGTTTATTAAGTAAACCTTAGGCTTTACTATTAGATTTGATTTACTAATTTGTACACAATTATTTGTTATGTAATTCTTCAATTTACTTATTATGCCCTCATTCTTTACCTTAGCTTTCATGTCAAAACAGTTCATTAGACCAACTGAACTAGAAAATGCAAAGATACTTAACTTTTGGTATTGCCTTTATTATAACCACAGGACCATAACTATTCTTCTTTAGTAAATCATAAATCAAATATACTTTGCTAATTAATAATGTTTTTAAACATCATGCGGAATGCTTACCCTTAGCTTACTGCTTGTATCCGTGACTTATTTCATTACAAAATTCTTTAACTCTCTAATGTATTAGAATAGCACTGTACCCTAGCTGCTGCCATATACAAGTAATAAGCAAAAGAAAATAAAAATCGTTGTGAAAATGGTCAATTTGTATATGACTTTGTTTTATTTTTGAATGATTATAACTTTAAAAAAATCATTCAAATGAATTGTTTTTTAATTTGTATTAAAAAAAAATCTTCCTAGTTATACCCCCTGAAAACAGGGGTTTATAATGGAAGTGCTGACACAACCCTAACCAAAGCAGCGCAAATGTTGCCGCTATAATACACAAAATCAAGTTCTATTATTCTAAACTATCCTCGCTCATGGGATTTTTCTTTACTGTGCTCCCAGTCAAACTGCTGAAGCATGAAAAATTTAAATGCAATCAAATGCGCCCAATTCTACTTTACTAGAACAAGTGTCTACAGTGGTACAATCTTAAAAGGAGATGCAACAGATTTGTTTGGTGTTTTTTTTAACTGTTTATTTATAATACAGTGCATTGGAGATAAAATAAAAGAGGAAATTACACTCACATGGTACCAGTGTATTGACTACACAGAGTACATTATAATCAGAGAGAAAAACTACATTGTCAACTTATCACATTGGTTAAACAAAATGGTTTTCTGGGGCACAGCTATTATCAAGTAAAACCACCAAAGAGAATTAAATATTTGGGATATATAAAACTAAATTCCCATCATATGTTCCCAGAGTTTGAAATGTCTCTGCCCAAGATCAAGTGAATTCCCAGGATGCCAGGCCATTGGAAAGAACTTTGAGCTTAGGACTTTTGGGAATGAGATTGTTGGAGAAAAGCCTCCGATAATCGATAATGTTCTCCAGGAGTCAGTAGGAATACTTCTAAAAGGTGAAAATTTTTCTGTTCCAACCCCTACTATAAAATCTGAATATTTAGATCATTACAAACTAATTCAAACAGTAAATTTATTTTCTGTTCTTAAAGAAGAAATCAGAACTAATTGGCTCAAGACTTTAAAAAATGATAAGGATGCCAGACATCTATACATTAAATTCTTTATTTCAGAAAACTATATTATCTAGAACCTTTCTGATATGATACCATTACTTTTAAGGAACTATTTGTACATGTTTAAATGTTAGAATTATTTTTAAACAACTTTAAACTTTTAAATTTTCTCATAAACCATGGTCACTTAAAATTACACTTTTTTTTATTTTGGCTTGGAAAGAATCCATCTCTCAAAGCTATCATTTGGGACTGTCCAAAAGAGCCACTGAGTTCAATGAAACAATATTTTAACTATTTTTAATATTTTAATTTTAGGTGTGTTACATTTATTCAAAAGAAGTACTGTTTTTTAACATAAAGCAACTTTTTAATAGTTGGTTTAACTACAGAAAAAATTGAAAGTTCAGGCCAACATTCACATTTATTTTGCAGCTCAACCCCAGGTTACCAAGGTAAACTTATTT